CTCCCCTATGAATGGAGGTTGCAGCATTTGGGACGTTTTAAGTTTAGAGGAAAGGAGAGCAAGGGGTAACATGACAGTTTCCCACAGGCATCTATCTGGCCGACAATTGTGAGAAGGGAATGCTGGACTAGTTGGGCCACTGGCCTGATCTAGCAGACTACAGTGGTGCCTCGCAAGACGAAATTAATCCGTTCTGCGAGTTTCTTCGTCTTGCGGATTTTTTCGTCTTGCGAAGCACGGATGCACCCTGGTACTGTATTATAATGGGATAGCGGGCAAAGCACAAAGCGGGTCGCTCCCCAGCAGGAGGAGTTTCCCCAGCCTGGAGGATCTGTTGCCGGGAAGAGGCAAAGACACCCCCTCCCACCTCCCCACGAAAACAGCCCCCCTTCCTCTGTCGCCAAGCCTTGCCGCGTCTTCGCTCGGCCAAACCGCGTCCCACATCAAAGCCCCAGCCCGCTCCTCTCCCTCTCTCTCCATGAGGTGCCAAAGGAAGTTCGAGCCCAGGAACCGAGGGCGGACGCACGAAGCGCCCGGCGCGGACTCTCCCTTGCTCCCCCCATTACCTTGCGCCACGCTGCCGGGCTCCCCACAGTCTCGGCAGCTGCTCCCGGCTTCTTCCCACCCCCGCAAAGGCGCCTTCGCGGCCGCCCAAGCACAGTGGATGCCTCCTCCTCCTTTGTCCCGCCTCCTCCTGCCTTCGCGCAGTTAGGGCAAAATGGAGCAGCCACGTGGGGAGGGGGAGAGAGAGAGAGGCAGAGGCAGAGGCGGCACAGAGACCCAGCCAGATCCGCTGGATCCCAGCTCACCTGCCTCCTCTGTGCCCTCTCCAGAAGAGGATCCCTCTGGAAAGGTAGGTCGCTCCCCTGCTCGCTGCCTGCCAGCCCAGTTCCCGCTTCAAAAGGAAACAAACTCGCAAGACGTTCCGTCTTGCGAAGCAAGCCCATAGGGAAATTCATCTTACGAGCACCTCAAAAACCGCAAAACCCTTTCGTCTTGCGAGTTTTTCGTCTTCCGAGGCATTCGTCTTGCGGGGCACCACTGTATTCTTACGTGTTTATGACTGCAGGACCCACATTGCTTAGATGAGGCTGGCCAATGCAGCTAGCGGCTAGCCACTTACGGGCTTCAGTTTCGTCTTAAGTATTTGATTTGATAAACAGATAGAGACTTGGGCTTAAATCGCTCCACACAAGTATTGCCAAGAGATTATTGATTTTAATTAAAGCCTTAGCCTAGAGTGGGTTGAAACAGCCACCCTTCCATAAAACAGGGGTACATGTTACCCCACTTTTTTTACTCCATTTCTATATGAATTGCCTAGACCCTCCAAGGGCTTTCCCCCCTACAATTCCTGGCTGTCAGCTTTTGATATTGTTCTATGCAGTTGAAATGTCCATTGTTTTTCCACTTCTGTGACAGGCAGGATGGAACTTCTCAGAGACCTTGGATAAGCCAGTGTGGTGTAGTGGTCAAAGAGATGGAGTAGGACCTGGGAGAGCAGGATTTGAACGTCACACTCAGCTATGAAGCTCATTGGTTGAGCTTGGGCCAGTTGCTGCCTGGCAGCCTAACCAACCTGAAAGGGTTGAGGGGATTAAATGAGATGGGGGAGGGGGGAGCTAGGCACACCACCTTGAGCTCTTTGGACAAAAGGCTGGGCTGTAAATGCAATAATAAACATCAGGTAAAACCCAGATGTATGGCAATGCGATGGAAAAAGCAGTAGAAACATCTCAAAAAGCTTACAATCAAAGGTTAGGTTCTTCTCCCTAAAAGCTCAACAATTTGGGTTTGTTCCCCCAAAAAGCTGAATAATTTTGGTGCTTTCCTAAAAAGAGCTCAACAACTTTGCCATTTTGAAATACCTCTCTCACCCTTCCATCCAGGCAAGCAGGGAGCATGACCAGAGTTCAAGGAAACATCCAAGCCTGCCAAGAAACACTCAAGGAGGGTGCATAGCAGAACTAGGAATGGGGGGCTGGGAAGGAGTGCAGCCTGAGGTAAATTCCAAGGGGCAAATAGAGAGCCTGGGGGTGGGGGCGGAGCTGTAATCTAGTCCCATTGACTAGACGGAGCTATAATCTGATCCAGTGAGGTTCATTTTATCATAATGCTTTTCATTTAAAATAAAATAAAATATTGTTGTTGTTGTTTAGTCATTTAGTCGTGTCCGACTCTTCGTGACGCCATGGACCAGAGCATGCCAGGCACTCCTCTCTTACACTGCCTCCCGCAGTTTGGTCAAACTCATGTTCATAGCTTCGAGAACACTGTCCAACCATCTCGTCCTCTGTCGTCCCCTTCTCCTTGTGCCCTCCATCTTTCCCAACATCAGGGTCTTTCCCAGGGAGTCTTCTCTTCTCATGAGGTGGCCAAAGTCTTGGAGCCTCAGCTTCAGGTTCTGTCCTTCCAGTGAGCACTCAGGGCTGATTTCCTTCAGAATGGAGAGGTTTGATCTTCTTGCAGTCCATAGGACTCTCAAGAGCCTCCTCCAGTACCATATTTCAAAAGCATCAATTCTTCAGTGGTCCAGCTCTCACTTCCATACATCACTACCGGGAAAACCATAGCTTTAACTATACGGACCTTTGTTGGCAAGGTGATGTCTCTGCTTTTTAAGAGAGAGCCCGGCCTTGGCTGGGGAGGGCGGGGTATAAATAAAAATTATTATTATTATTATTATTATTATTATTAAGAGACAGTTATTGCAGCTACTCTATGAAACTTTTCCTATCTTAATGAATTGGCGATAACCAAGAGAACCAGCCTCTGTTTCCCTTCCCTCCTCCATTTCCTCCGCAATTAAATGGCTTTGAACTCAGAGTTAGCAATGGAAAGATCCCAAGAACACCTGCTAAAAAATCAGAGATAAATCTAACCTCCTGGGTCCTTATCACTGAAATCCCAGAGCCTTGTGGCCAACGGGACAGGGAACGAGACCTGATTGCCTGGGATTTGTCTCACTTGGCTCAAGGTGGATTATCAGGCAGCTGCAATCCGAAAGGCCTTCTCGGGCTAATTAGACAAAATAAACTGATATGTTTTCTGTTCTAGATATGAGAAAGCTTGAAACGATAAAGGAAAGAGAGCAAAGGGGGAAAATAACAGGACAGATGGAACACCAAACAGTGATAATATAAAAACGAAGAGACAATTACCTCTTAGTGTACATGGTGCATTTTCTTAGTATCATGCAGATACCTTAACCTCCACCTGCATCCAGAACAGATGGATCCTGAACCATTGGAGCCTCTGTAAATCAAAGGTTTTCGCAGGGTAGGGTTTTGGGGCAGATGTCCAAGCCCTGAAACTGCAGACTGAGCAGGAGAGAGGTTTACTAGTACCACATTTTGAAGCAAGTGGAGTGATACCTATGAGCACGTAAAAGACCTCCCCCATAAGGCCATTAATTGTGAGGGTATAACATTTCCTAACCACTGCTACAACACATGCATTTAGAGAATGTGATATAAGGATAAGGTGCATCTAATCCCTACTCAGAGAGTAATTGGGTTAATGAGGCAAAGTCAGTCATGCCCATCAATTTCAATCTGCCTATTCTGAGTAGGACAAACATTGGAAACAACCGTGTATGTCTAGAGACTGTAGGGCAGTAGAGGGCAGCTCAGGCTCAGGGAGCAAAAGGGGCTCCCAGGCCTCTCTGTTTGGCCATTGGAACTGTCCCCAAAGGAGGACCCCTCACTGGTCCTCCTTCATACCCTCCTTGAGTGTTTTTGCCTGGCTGGAATATGCCCTTGAACTCTGATCATGCCTTTCGCTTGCCTGGATTGAGGATGGAGAGGAGTGCATATGTAGAAACTAGCTTACTGTACAAAGGAAAATAAATAAATAAAATTTCTTCACCACAGCTTGCCACTGGTTTGTGGACCGCAAAGGGTTACCCAGAAGGAAATGTGGCCCTTGGGCTGAAAAGGGTTCCCTGCACCAGCTATACAGAATTGAATCCCAAATAATTACAACACTAGCAACTCATGCTAATACTATTTTAATGAGGCATCTCCAAAAGCCAAAAGGGGTCAGTGGTTTTTCAGTCAAAGAAGAACTGCAACCACTTCTAAACTTCTATTGCAACAGCTGTAGGAGGGATTTTCCAGATCAAAGAGCCCTTGATGGCCATCTATCTTGATGGCCCTCACATTCTTCCTGTTGAACCCCCCCATACCTCTGTCCATTTATACATGGGGAGGAAAATGGAAAGCCTTTCAGATTGTGATAAAAGCCTGATTTCAAAAGAACCAAGCAACTTTCTCCTTGATTCATCCTTATCCTCTGTGTTTTCCGGGGGAATTTGAATCCTGGCCAGTGATTTCCTATTACAGCCACCTCTTCAAAAGTTCTTGTCATGCTATCTCTCTCTCTCAACCCCCCCCCCATGTTAAGGGCAAGTTTGAATGAAACAGATCGCTAGCAGCAGATGACAATGGTGCCAGGCGATGGGGTTTTTGGCACTGCAGCAGGAAGTGGCATGCCTGTGTGCTTAAGTTAAAAAAAGAAGAAGCTTTCTGCACATCGCTGCAGATGGCAGAGAGAAGCAGCAGCAGCATTTCTGGCAGGGCTGCTGCCAGCTCCTCTTCCAATACAACTAAGTCACCCTCTGGGTACCCTCTGAGCATCTGCAAGGATGCTCCTGACTCCAAATATCTTTGCAGCGGGTGCTTGAATCTGCTGAAGGATGCCCTGCAAACCCTCTGTGGACATCACTATTGCTTGGTCTGGAATTGTATGGTGAGAGCTCCTTTAAAAACAAAAACAAAAAACATAGGAAGGAGTCTTGTGGCATGAGAGGAGAGAGGGAGAACGGAAAGGGCAGCATGAAAATTCAGCTGTGAAGCAGAAAGGAGGAGGCTTGGGTGCAGGTGGAAAGATGCATAGTATAGGAGAGGCACCCTGGCTCTCAAGATGCATGGACCTTCCAGCCAGGCATTCAGAGCACATAGAGATGGCCAGGCTATTTGGCCATCCAGCTCAGTGCTGTAGGGGAGGACCATAGCTCAGTGTCAGAGAATATGCTTAGCATGCAGAAGGTCCTAGGTTTAATCCCTGTCTTCTCCAGGCAGGGCTGCAAAAGATTTCCTGCTTGAAATCCTGGAGAACTTGTTGCCAGTCAGTATAGACAATGCTGAACTACTGTATGGATGAATGAACCTGTCCGTTTCAGTTTTTGTCCGTTTCTCATTTTTTCAGTCACAGTTATCCAGATTTCCACAGAGGTCTGCATTATCATTGTTATTATTATTAGTCAGCATCTGAGTGCAAATTTCTCCAGAGATACACATTTTTGTATGTAGTTTTGACTCATTCCCATTTTTGCAAACAATTTTGCCCTTTTTAATGCATTTTGTGCCTTGTTTTCACTGGTATATGCAATTTTATATACACTTCTAATATGTAGGTTTTCCCCAAACTCACCTTGGTTGATTGGGGAATTGCATTGCCAAATTCAGATAAGTGTGGCTTTCAAAAGATAGCTGTGTTTTGGTTTGCAAAACAAAACAGAACAAAACCATCAAAATTAATCTGCATTTAGTGCAAATTTAGCCCAATACAGTGGTACCTCGGGTTACATACGCTTCAGGTTACATATGCTTCAGGTTACATACACTTCAGGTTACAGACTCCACTAACCCAGAAATAGTACCTCGGGTTAAGAACTTTGCTTCAGGATGAGAACAGAAATCGTGCTCCGGCGGCACGGCAGCAGCGGGAGGCCCCATTAGCTAAAGTGGTGCTTCAGATTAAGAACAGTTTCAGGTTAAGAATGGACCTCCGGAATGAATTAAGTACTTAACCCGAGGTACCACTATATATACATACATCCCCCCCCCGATATTCATAAGGCTCTACCCAAATATTATGATTTTTTTTGGTATGTTATTTTCAGTAATGTATGCATTTCTTACGCATACTTTCCACACATTTTTGTACACATTACTTGTCTGGAGAACGGCATTGCAAAACTCAGAGAAGGCTAAAACTCATAGGATGTCTGTTTTCCAGTTTACATACCGTTTTGCAAAGTGTGAATTAGGTAGGTTCTTTGTTTAGTGTGAACTAAATTAAATTTCTCCTCCAATCCTAGCCTTAATCAAACCTCCATGAATCCTCTAAATGGGTTCTCTCCCCAGCTAAAGAAACGATGCAGCAGAAGTAGGCAACAGTCAACCTGGCACCCTGAACTACAGTTTGCATCAGTCACAGCCAGTATGGCCAATGGCCAGGGATGATGGGAGTTGTAGTTCAGAACTTTTCCAGGGCAAGGCTGCCTATCCTTGTTACCAGGTAACTTGGCCTTCAACAGGTGGAAATTAAGAGTCACCTGAAACCCTTTGATTAATCTCTCCCCACCCCCCACCCCCCCAGAAACAATAACAACCATGTTTGCCAGAGTTGTAAGGAGGTAGATCCTGGCAGCACGAATGAAGAAAGTTTACTCTTAGTAGGAAAGGTATGTCTGGTCTTCATTCATCTGGATTTAAACATTTCTCAGAAGCTATATATCTGTTTGTTAGAATAAAATGCAAAGCATTCTTAATTTCTGGAAATACATACAGGCACTCAGAGGAAACCAAGAACATCTGGGCAAAACGCTATGCTGCTCATAGATCCATTCATTTTACTTTCTGTTTATTGTTCTGGACCTGATCTTTTAGAGCTTTGGGATTTTGAATTTGGGGAGCAGGGAGTATGGATGTGGATGTTCATCACCTAATCCCAGGAAATAAAAGTTATTTTTGTCCTAGCATCAAGGAAGGCCAAGCATTAGATCAGCAATTCAGGGGTGAAACAACATAGCCATGTAGTACAGTCCTTCTGCCACTGGGTTACTTCTAAGGCTGGACAAATATGTCCATTTCTCTCAATTTTTCATTTTCTTCCAGTCTTGAGTTTAGTTCTCCACATTTTCACGTCAGTCTGTGAATTCTTATTTTTTTAGCCACAAAATTCAGAGAAGTGCAATTTTTTAGTTCACATACTATTTATGTATTTATTACATTTATAGCCACCCTTTTCTCTAAGGAGCTCAGTGTGGCAGACTTGGTTCCTCCCAGTTCCTATCTATCCTCACAATAACCCTGTGAGGTAGGCTAGGCTGAGAGGCAGTGACTGCCTCAAGTGAACTTGAACTTGGCTGAGGGGGGAGTTGAAGCCTGGTCTCCCAGGTCTTGGTCCAACACATCATCATCACCATTGATTTACTAATCCCCTTCTAAACAGCCATCTCAAGGTGATTTACAGACAAGATAATTTTTAAAATATTAAAAACACAAGAGCAGCAAATACTTTTAAAACAATAGTAAATCCATAACAAGTGGACACTTGTGGTAAAGATCTATTTAATCCAGCTGGGAAAACCTGTTAGAACAAAAATTTCTGCAATTCCCCACCACCCCCAGGAAGTGCAGAAAGCAGGTGCCTGTTGTATCTTTATGAGAATGCTATTCAACAGAACAGGGACGCGGGTGGCGCTGTGGGTTAAACCACAGAGCCTAGGACTTGCTGATCAGAAGGTTGGTGGTTCGAATCCCCGCAACGGGGTGAGCTCCCGTTGCTCGGTCCCTGCTCCTGCCAACCTAGCAGTTCGAAAGCACGTCAAAGTGCAAGTAGATAAATAGGTACCGCTCTGGCAGGAAGGTAAACAGTGTTTCCGTGTGCTGCTCTAGTTCACCAGAAGCAGCTTAGTCATGCTGGCCACATGACCCAGAAGCTGTACGCCTGCTCCATCGGCCAGTAAAGTGAGATGAGCTCCACAACCCCAGAGTCAGCCATGACTGGATCTAACGAGCAGGGGTCCCTTTACCTTTATTCAACAGAACAGGGACAGCTACATTAACCATGACACCACATAGATTCACCTTTAAGTGTGAACCAGATCAAATTTTCCACCCACCCCATGCTGCCTCAGAAGGAAAACGTGTGTGTGGTGGGTGGGTGAAGGTTGGCTTGAAGGTACAAGTGTGTATGAAGCCTTATTGTGGAATCCCTTACCAGAAAGAAAAGGACTCGCCTAACCTTCTTGCTGGTCCATTTCACATGTGTACTGAACTATGCATTCACAAATTGCACACATATTGGCTTTGTTCATAAATTTACCTAGAGCTGGGAAAAGGTTCAGAAAAGGGCAACCAAAATGATCAAGGGTGTGGAGCAACTCCCCTCTGACGAAAGGTTGCATGATTTGGAGATTTCAAGTTCAGAGAAAATGCAAGTAAGAGGTGACATGACAGAAGATCATAAAATTATGCCTGGCACAGAGGAGAGCTTTTCCTTCCCTCTCTCTCATAGGACTAGAACTCATGGGCATCCAATGAAGCTGAATGTTGGAAGACTCAGGGCAGAGAAAAGGACTTCTTCACATAGCACATAGTTAAACTATGGATCTCAGCCCCCCAAGGAAGCAATGATGGTTGCCAGCTTGGATGGGTTTGAAAGAGGAATGCATAAATTCCTGGAGGATAAGGCTATCAATGGCTTCCAGCCAAAATGGCTATGCTTAGCCTCCACTCTCTCTTTTTTTCTTTTCCCAATTTTTTAATTAATTTTCCAAAATTCTAAACTAACAAACAAACATAGATCATAACTGTACTAACATTGTTAGTAATGTTCCCTAGTCAATTCCCTTGACTGAATTTCAATATACGTACAGTGGTGCCCCGCAAGACGAAAAACTCGCTAGACGAAAAACTCGCTAGACGAAAGGGTTTTTCATTTTTTGAGGTGCTTCGCAAGACGAATTTCCCTATGGGCTTGCTTCGCAAGACGAAAACGTCTTGCAAGTTTGTTTCCTTTTTCGTAAAACCGTTAATACCCAGGGTGCATTGCTTGAAGAGGTGCAGTTGCGACTTGACTTCGAGGAGCAACTCATAGCACGTGGTGTGGTAGCCTTTTGCAGCCATTTGGTAAGTTAAACTTTTAAAAGTTTTTTGGGGGTTTTTGGATTTTGGGTTGGGGTGTTTGGAATTCAAGGACTTGGTGTTGGGGAGGGGCTTGAAAGAATCTGGAAGCTTGTGTGTGTGTTTTCTGCATTTTTATGATTTTATGTGACCATTGGGCCACTCTGCTGTTTTTTAAAAAAAAATTCTGGATTTGAATTTCTGTGTGGTGGGTGGCTGGGGGAACAGTTGGGGAGGGGTTTGCAAGAATCTGGAAGCTTGTGTGGTTTTTTTCTGCATTTTTATGATTTTTCTGTGACCATTGGGCCACTCTGCTGTTTTTTTAAAAAAAAATTCTGGGTTTGAATTTCTGTGTGGTGGGTGACTGGGGGAACAGTTGGGGAGGGGTTTGCAACAGTTGGGAAGGGGTTTGCAATTTCTGTGTGGTGGGTGGCTGGGGGAATAGTTGAGGTTTATGAAGACTTTGGTGATTTTTGAAGCTTTTCCAAAACTTCTTTTGCAGCCATTCGGTAAGTTAAACTTTTAAAACTTTTTTGGGGGGGTTTGGATTTTGGGTTGGGGTGTTTGGAATTCAAGGACTTGGTTCTGGGTTTGAATTTCTGTGTGGTGGGTGGCTGGGTGCTTTTGAATTTTTTGGCTGTGAAGCACTGATTTTTTGGGGGGGGGGGTTGCGCAGGTAGGAGCTGTGCTGCCATGGGACCCAAGAAGACTGCTGCTGCAGAGGCCGGCGAGGGGAAGAAGGAGAAGGTTACGCTGGAAATGAAGAAGGAGATCATCTGGAAGCATGACGGTGGAATGCGTGTGACAGACCTCGCCAGGGAGTACGGGAGAATCCATAGACCATCGGGACCATCCTGAAGATGAGGGAGAAGATCCTTGCGACTGATGCAGCCAAGGGAGTCACCAGGATCACCCAGCTGTTCTGGAGGAGGTGGAGAAGTTGCTGCTCATCTGGTTAGAAGAGAAGCAGCGTGCAGGGGACACAGTGACTGAGGCCGTCATTTGTGAGAATGCCAAGGCCTTGCACGCAGACCTCGTCCGGGAACAGCCAGGAACCTCAGGCGAGCCAGAAGTCTTCAAGGCAGAGGCTGGTTTGACCGATTCAAGACAAGATCTGGAATCCACAGCGTGGTCAGGCATGGAGAGGCTGCCAGTTCTGAT